CTAGAGAGGATATATTTGTTCTCTACTTAATATAACTATGGCCTTTGCAAACGAGGATCCATTAGTGGCATAACGCTGCGAGAAGCCGCATTCGTGATGAGATTGCCATTTTACAAATTGCTGAGCTCGTTTAGCCGGTAGCCCTCTTTCTAAAATATCATCACCCACTGTGCTGTAAATTCTAACACTATCAGGGGAAATTATAGAGAAATAATTTAGGCAGGCTCTCAGCAGCCCTTTACTCTGAAATACAAAGAGACGTATGTAAATGAGCAAGATGCAGCTCAGAACAGTGTACCGCACAGGCATATAAAACTAATCTATAATGATTTTGCATGCATTTGATATACATTTTCTGTAGGTTTATACATTTTAAATGGATGTTTTATATAATGATGGGACATTATTCCTCCCACTGACACCAATGATGGGGCACTATTCCATCCATTGACACCAAGGATGGGGCACTATTACTCCCACTGATGCCAATGATGGGTCACTAGTCCCCACCACGATGGGGCAGATACCAACGATGGGGCACTATTACTCCCACTGAACCAATGATGGGACACTATTCCTCCCCACTGACACCAATGATGGGGCACTATTCCCATCCATTGACACCAAGGATGGGGCACTATTACTCCCACTGATGCGGCACTATTACTCCTACTGATGCCAATGACACCACGATGGGGCACTATTACTCCCACTGATACCAATGATGGGGCACTATTACTGCCACTGACACCAATGATGGGAACACTATTTCATCCATTGACACCAACGATGGGGCACTATTACTCCCACTGATACCAATGATGGGGCACTATTACTCCCACTGATGCCAATGATGGGGCACTATTCCATCCATTGACACCAAGGATGGGTCACTAGTCCTCCCACTGATACCAATGGATGGGGCACTATTACTCCCACTGACACCAATGATGGGGCACTATTTCATCCATTGACACCAAGGATGGGGCACTATTACTCCCACTGATACCAATGATGGGGCACTATTACTCCCACTGATGCCAATGATGGGGCACTATTACTCCCACTGATACCAATGATGGGGCACTATTATTTCCACTGATGCCAAATGATGGGGCACTATTACTCCCACTGATGCCAATGATGGGACACTATTTCATACATTGACACCAATGATGGGGCACTATTACTCCCACTGATGCCAATGATGGGACACTATTTCATCCATTGACACCAACGATGGGGCACTATTACTCCACTGATACCAATGATGGGGCACTATTACTCCCACTGATGCCAATGATGGGGACATTATTCCATCCATTGACACCAAGGATGGGGCAATATTCCTTTCACTGATACCAACGATAGGCAATATTCCTCCCACTGAACCAATGATGGGATACTATTCAACCACTGACAACAACAGTGGGGCACTATTCCTCCCACCGATATCAACAAATGATGGGGTACTGTTTACTCCCATGACATTAATGAATGGGGCACTATTCTGGCCCCCTGAAACCCGAAGGACTGTAAATTAGCCCCATTGACACCAAGGAAAGCTCGGCTCTAGAAAGCAAATACACAAATAAGAGTTTACTGTGATGACCAACCATATTTAAGATTCCATCTCATGTATGAGAGAAGGAAAATGGAGGATATTGATTGTTTGCTATGAGCATATGGACGTGCAAGCATGGTGTCCACCGCGTTAATGATTACATGTCACTATCTTTTGCTCCTCCATGAGCATTACACACCAATGATGGGGCACTATTCTCATCCATTGACACCAAGGATGGGGCACAAGGTTATTTTTTTATCTGATGTCCAATGATCTGCCACTAATTATGAACACTGACATTTCAAAAAACACCGGGCACTATTACTTCCCATTGTACACTTTTTATGGGCTCTATTAACCACCCCAGTATGAAATGATGGGATATTGTAAAAGACACCCTATACGGTTGCTCTTCTTATTAACAGAGATCGCGGAATTCTCCTTCTGACATATAATGAGAGCTATCTAATCATCCATTTAGGGACAAAAAAAAAGATTGGCACGATATTCTGAAAAGATACCAATGATGGGGCACTATTACTCCCTCTGATACCAATGATGGGGCACAAAGTTGAACCAAGACACCAAACACTATTACTAGAAATGACTGCCACTGTGGGAAACACTATATATCCATTGACATGAACTGATGGGGGCACACGCATTACTAACCGCACTGATACCAATGATGGGCACCGGGACTAGTGATATTGACAAGGGAGAGATCTGTGTGTAAGCAACACAGATCTGATGCCAATGATGGGGCACTATTCCATCTCTCGACAAAGCATTGAGGGAGATGGATGGGCACTAGTCCCCCAGTACTGACTACCAATGATGGGGCTATTACTCCACTGATTAATGAGCGCACTATTTCGTCCATTGACACGAACAAAGAGGTGATCAAATACTACCAAAAGAAACTCAATCTGGGTGCACTAATGACTCCCATTTATTAATTTCAGGGGCTTATATAGCGCTGTCAATTGACAAACAGCACTTTACAATATTATTTCACATACACATTAGGGCCCTAACCCTCACAGGGGTGAACAATCTAAGGTACTCTAACTCACACCATACACATACAGTGGGGACACAAAATTATTCAACCCCCGATATCAACAAAGGGGTTTAGGGACTATGTGTACATTTGAATTGTATTCAGAATCAAATCTACTCCCAGGGCCCCCTTGTAAACCCGAATGCACTGTAAATGACATCAATTGTAAGGAAAGCTCGGCTCTAGAAACAAAACACAAATAAGAGTTTGTGTGATGACCAACCATATTTAAGATTCCATCTCTGTAAGACTACCACTCTGAACAGAGGTTCATACAGGTGCTTTCCATCAGGTATTGAAAACACCTGAGAGAAGGAAAACATGGTGAGGCAAGAGATTGTTTGCTATGAGATAGAGGTGATTTCTCTGGTGGGCAATGGCTATAATGATTACAGAAAACCTGTCAACATACCTTTTGCTCACCTCATAACCGTGTTATGTAACCAAGATTCACAAGGTTATTTTTTTAAACGCTACCTGGTTGGCAGTCCACCATCTGCCTTCTAATTAATGAACACTGAAGCATTTCAGAAAAAGTCACCGTGTGACTGTCAAAGAAACTTCAAATTGTCACTTTTTATGGTTCATTTCAGCTCTTAAACCACCCTGCGTAATGAAATGCCTGCATGTTGTAAAAGACATTCCCATACGGTTGCTCTTCTCCATTAACAGAGATCGCGGAATGTCTCCTTCTAGGACATATAGAGAGCTATCTAACATGTCAGTTAGGATGAAAAAAAAAAGTTGTCACGATTTCTGAAAAGATTTAAACCATGCACTTAAAAAAGCAGCTCTGGCCCAATAAATTAAACAAAGTTGAACAAAGATCCAAACACCTTTATAGAAATGGCTGCACTGTGCAAAACCACGTATATATATATTAGACATGATTTTGTTTTCTGGGGAGGGAGCGCACAATGTGCGCCGCCCTAACCGCACTGTCTTGCCTCCCGAAGATGTCAGTGACCAATCTGGTCAGTTTTGTTCTGCATGGCCAGGGAAGCTTCAGTGATTGTGCAAGGTAGCATGACAAGTACCAGGAGATATTGGATGGAAACGCAACACAGATCCGTCACACACCAGAGGGGGAGACGTTGCTTTCAACAGGACAATGATCCCAAGCATCCTCCAAGTCCAAGAGCACTACAAGGAAAGGCTGGTCTTTTTGGAGTTTATCGCAGTCAAAAGACTTAAAAAACGATTGAGAACCTCTGGTGGGACTTAAAGAAAGCAGTTGCAAAGAAAGCTCTAAGAATGTGACTGAAAAAAGGCCTTTGCCCATGAAGAATGGGCAAGATACCCGTAGATCGCTGCAATCAATTGTGTCAAGCTAGCACGTTTTAAAAGCTGTTATAACTGTAAAAGGATGCTGTACTCAGTACTAACCCTGAATGGGGGGTGAATAAAACTGATACAATCTAAGGTCAGAAACTCACATTCATTACATTATAACATGTTATATTTGTCTGGACCACAAGTTTTAATGTAACAGTAAGCAATGACTGAATGATCAAAAGCATGTCAAAATGGCCAAAACACTCAAGTTCAGTGGAGGTTGAATAATTTTGGTCACAACAGTACTAGGGACAATTTAGACAGGATCCAATTAATCTACCTGCATGTCTTTGGAGTGTGGGAGGAAACCGGAGTACCTGGAGAAAACCCACGCAGGCACAGGGAGAGAACATGCAAACTCCGGCAGGTGGTGCCATCGTTGGGATTCAAACCAACAACCCTATTACTGCCAGGTGGAAGTGCTAACCATTTAGCCACTGTGCTGCCCATTTTTCATGAGTTTCATTTATGTATAGCATTGCATGACTGCGCAATTGTCAGTTAACCTCCCTAGCGGTCTGATTATATCCATATTTCTGTGCTGAAAGCGGTACATTTTTTTGCATGGAAATATGTATTTTTTTTTATTGTAGGCCTGTAATTTTTAGAAATAACTCACTGAAATCTGTCCGAAAAGAGTCTAGTAAACATCCCGGGTATGTAAAATTTGAAACACAAAATCATAAATTATAATTTAATAAATAATCATAAAAAATAATAATATAATAATAATAAATTTAATTTAATAATATAATCAAACCAAAAACACTGAAATTTGAAATATAGCGCCAAGTTCGCACATCGCTGAGCAAAGTCGCAGAATCGTTTTCAGTGTCTGATGACGAATTTCCCCCACGAATCATTATCACTCAATACTGCAAGTGGTTCTGATTTACTATCGCTGTTCTCTAGCCGGTCTAAAACCGCTTTTGACCTAAAGGGATGCTTTTTGGACGCCATGGACGTTTCTCAGTTTCCAGGCAGAAAGAACAGTAAAAATGCTGGCAGGGCGCAGGACAAAGCACTCGGGACAAAATGTATGTGAAATGGTTTGATACAGGAATGTTATACTGTGTGATTTTAGTGTATTTAGTGAATGTCACTTTTTGTCATTTTCAAATTTCCTGCCGTTCCGTCCCCCGTACGTCCCGCCGCTCGCAGGGGACGGAACCCAGATGACAGATGCCGGTATCCGCCGGAGGACATTACAGGGGATACTGCAGGAGGGACATCGCGGGAGCGCAGGACAAGGTAAGAGATCGAGGGAATCCCTGAGCAACGCTTCATGGTAAGCCCGAGTGTAGCTCTGGGTTACCGCTTCTGGTACTGAAACTTTACCCCGAGCTACACTCGGGAATACAGCCAGGGGGGTTAAAGTAACACAGTGCCATATCGAAAAAAAATGGCTTGGTTATGAAGGAAGGTAAATCTTCCAAATGGCAAGTGGTTAAAGTCACAATAAACAATGGACTTATTCTCCAAGAATAATCCAGACTCATCCACTACTTAACGGCCCTGTAATCTATTTTTCATTAAATCATTGCATACCGTGTTTTTCTGTCTCCTTGTAAAATCCTCTGTGAGTTCCCAAACCCTCCATTTTCCCCATTCCATTTGTTTGGAAAGAGCACTGCATGTTAGGTTCATCAATGAGCACTGCGCTACACACTCTATATACATCCCAGAGTCCATAGTCCATTTCACGAGTGAGCAAGGGAGGATGGCTACATTCCTACATACAGTGGGACCATGGAGAACGAACGTTGCCACCCTCTTGCAGGAAGTTGGATCAAAGCAGCAATAATAAAAAAAAAGGAATCCGTAGGAGGCTGAGAACAATAGAAGGGACTTTTTGGAATTAAAGGAAAAGTAGGATCAAAGTTCTTTTGGTTCTACTTCTCCTGGGGATCACAGAAGTGCACTTCGTTCTGCACTATAACCCATTTTCAGTTGACAGCAGGCTAAAGTCTACTGTTGGCTGATGTCACTTAGCCAGTCCAGGCTCTAGAGAGATCCGGATTTTATTGTCAGAATTCACCCAGATGGCTGGACTGGCAGCTGGCTCAGCCTCCCAGCATGCCACAAAGAGCCTGAGCCAGATGCTCCTAGACTGCATTCCAGTGACCACTGGAAGGGCAGAGCAGAGAGCCGGTAACTGGTGACCAGTGAACAATCACCGGCTTTCTGCTCAATGAAGACCAGAAAATGACCCGATCAGTGGTATTGGTCGCTCAGTTCTCCATGTAGAGCTGGCAGGGGACAGATGCAGCATCGGACTGTAAATGTTTTGTTTTAATCCAAAACTTGTCCTTTAAGAACACATAGTTGAATACATTTTCTAAACCAGCATTACGTGACAGCACAAGTCTATGGCCACCCTGGAGACCAGTAAGACGATCTTCATGTGATTAAGTTGTTACAGTTCCAAGTTGGAGAATCTACCTGTACATCAATAAGCTCCTACAAGCTTCGAAGACACTCATTAGCTATAACTGTCTCTTAGGAAATCAGAAATGGCCTGATTAATGCAAGCGATTCTACAAATTGGTAACATTGCTTGCTACTAATAAAATGGTTGTAAAGGCTCAAGATTTTTTACTTTTATGCATTCTATGCATGACGGTTGTCAGGGCTCCAGGTATGACCAGAGATGTGTGGACTGACACAGGGAAACACAGGCTCCAGGTATAGTATAAACAATACAATTTATTAAAGACTAAACAATACATAAACGCAGTGCAAGACTAAACATAAACACAGTGCAACCAAACCTCCAACAGATAACAATAAGAACAATACTAAACGTAGTCGGGAAGGCCGGGTCGGTAGCAAACGAGCAGGCAAGGTACAAGGAGCAGGCGGAAGAGTAGTCAGGAATAGCCGAGGTCAGGACAGGCGGAGTACATTCAGAGTCAGGATCAAAGCAGAGTCAGGATCAGGCAGGAAGCAGACAGGATGCAGGTGCAGGGGCTCATGGGAAACATACACCAAGGCACTGACTGCAGGTCTGGCCATTCCTTAAATACACCTCCTGCAATCAGCCTCAGGTGATGGCTGACTGCAGGAGTGAGCTTCTGGTTGCTGAGAGCACCCGCTGGCCAGCCTTGGTACTGCAGCCCACAAGGCAGGTGAGTCCCACCACCATTGGCAAGTTCATTCCTGACAACGGTAAAAAAACCTTCTGTGTGCAGCAGTGCCCCCAGCCCCCTCATTACTTACCTGAGCCCACATCAATGTACAAAACAGCCTCGGCTGTCCCGGGTCTCTGCCTCCTCACTGGCTGAGACAGCAAGTGGGAGCCAAGTTGCAGCTCTGTGTGAATGGACACATGGAGCAGCAGCTGAGGAACAGCCTGCTCGGGGGCCCACATAGCAAGCTGCTTGCTGTGGGGGCACCCGACAGAAAGGAGGAGCCAGAAGCGTTTCTCCTGGAAATTGTATGTTAGTGCAAATAAAAAAGTATCATGGACAGTACTCAATTGTTTCTATTATATCCACAGATGGTAAAAAAGATGGACAACATGTTTTGGAGGCCAAAGAAACCCCCTTCATCAGGGCTTTCAAAATGTATAAATTATTTCTTGCAATTATCCAGCCCTTGGGCACTATTTTTTCCATGGGTATGAAGCACTGTTCCTCCTACTGACCTTAACAATGAGGCATCATTCCTTCATCAACAGTGGAGCACTATTCCTACCACTGAAACCAATGATTGGGCAATATTCATCACACTGACACCAATGATGGAGCACTATTCATCCCACTGATACCAATGATGGGGCACTATTCCTCCCACTGATACCAATGATGGGGCACTATTCCTCCCACTGATACCAATGATGGGGCACTATTCCTACCACTGAAACCAATGATTGGGCAATATTCATCACACTGACACCAATGATGAGACACTATTCCTACCACTGAAACCAATGATTGGGGCAATATTCATCACACTGACACCAATGATGGGGAACTATTCCTACCACTGAAACCAATGATTGGGCAATATTCATCACACTGACACCAATGATGGAGCACTATTCCTCCCACTGATACCAATGATGGGGCACTATTCCTACCACTGAAACCAATGATTGGGCAATATTCATCGCACTGACACCAATGATGAGACACTATTCCTACCACTGAAACCAATGATTGGGCAATATTCATCACACTGACACCAATGATGGGGAACTATTCCTACCACTGAAACCAATGATTAGGCAATATTCATCACACTGACACCAATGATGGGGCACTATTTCTACCACTGACACGAAAGACGGCATAATATTCCTACCACAGATGCCAATGATGGGACAATATTCATCCTGCTGACACCAATCATGGGACAATATTAATATTTTTTTCAATTCCCACTGATCACCAAGCCTGAGGCATTATTTATTCCCACTGACACTAGGGCATTTTCTACTCCCACTGGACATGGTCCAGCTCCTGCCTAAAGTCCAAAGGACAGTAAACCGGCCCTTTGTTTAGAAAATGTGGAGACCCCTGGTCTAATGGACACAGCAGATCTCCTGGATAAATGGGTTTTGGCCAAGGTATAAAACAGTGAATGTTTCAGTTATTAGCAGCAGTGCAGTGCTTTTTCTTGTTCAATTACATGCAGATTTCTCATGCTATCCTTTGGGAACCCAAGCCATTAGGCTCATCTAAAGACTTGTTTTGCTTCTACTGTTCCCCACCTGGGATTGGACAAAAAAAGAGGAGCAACAGACTGATGCAGTTATCTCTCTCCTCTCAGCATGTTTCTTGTTAGCACATGTGAATGCAGGACACCTGATTGGCCCTTAGTACTGCCCCTCCCTCGGCCAATCTGAGTGATGCTATAAAGCTGATTACAAGTGGCCCATTTTTTTAATGAATACATATTGCATTATATTATATTATTATATTACATGGTACATTCTGTATTAACCACTTCCTGTCCTTAGGCCTAAGGTTGAAGTTGTTATACTGGGATCATGACTGCAGCTAGAGTCCCATTATCATTTTTTATGGCCAGCAATTTCTCTTTTTTGTAAAAGTAAGCCCACCCCCACCTTTACTGAGCTCTCCTGCCCAATCAGGGAGCCCGGTAAGGATGGGACCAGCAGCATCTGACTCCAGTACACAGTGAGAGGAATTGATGTTGTTCCTCCCACTGTGTGACATCAGAAACGACAAGGATTTTGTCACTTCAGGTTTACTGGCCAGTTAGTGGACAGTGAATGAATCCAATCAGACAGATGTGTGTCTGATTGGCTGCATTGGAGACCAGAGGAGAGATCTGGGGTCTAGTAGACCCCAGATCTCACTATAAAGAGGACCTGTAATGCCTATTGTTATTAGAAGGGATGTTGTTCATTCCTTGTGATAGTGTCAGGGCAGGAGCTGTGGAACGGACAGGCAAGCCTAGTGGCAGGGTCCTGCACTGACTGACGACAACCACCACCCACAGACCGAGTCCCTCAGGGAGTCTAAGTTCCAGACTGCCCTTCACCAGGGCCCCTGATGGTGGGGATGGACTTGACGCAGCCAGGAACCAGGTCGCAGCCCCCGGGACACCCCAGCTGCAGTACTGGCCGCCACCAATGGCGTGTAGCTGGGAGGAATCAGATCAGACAATAGCGTAGTCGGGCAGGCCGGGTCGACAACAACGGGACAAACGGTACAGAACAGTAGACAAGAATCACAGGTCACGGGCCGGGTTCAGCAACGGGAGGTCAGATCAAAGGAAACCGCAGAGAATGGTCTAGTCACAAGCCGAGTCAGATTCCAGGAGAGTCACGAGAGTATAAACAGAGCTGTTGCAACACTAACACACAAAACACGAATGCAAAGGGCACGTGCGGACAACAGGCATATATGTGATCAACCACACCCCTCTGGGGGATGGACCGCAGAGGCCTGAAGGCATAAAAGACTCCCACCATGCTCTGCAGAAATCCAAGATGGATGCCAGCACATGGAGCAGCATAACCTCTGGGAAAAGGTAGGACCTTGACAGATAGCAATAAAGTTGATAAACAAAAAAAATAAAGGTAAAATGTTAAAAATAATGTAAATAAAATAAATAATGCATTTTTTTTAAAGCGCCCCCATCCCTCCATGCTCATGCACAAAGGTGAATGCACGCGTAGGTCCTGCATGCATATGTAAGGTGATTGCACCACACATGTGAAGTATCGCCACGAGCATTAGAGCAAGAGCAATAATTCTAGCACCAGACCTCCTGTGTAACTTTAAACTGGTGACCTGTAAAGGCTTTTAAAGCATTGCCTATGGAGATTTTTTAAGTACTGTAGTTTGGTGCTGTTCCATGGGCGTATGCAATTTTAAAATGTGACATGTTTGGTATCTGTTTACTCA